GGGCGACTGCCAGCACGGAGCCCCCCCCCCCCCCACCTCCAGCCACACGGTTTCCAGCGAGGAGAGCCGTCCGTGCCCGACCACCAGCCGCCACTGCCAGCCTCGCTTCAACGAGAGGCCACCTCCTCCAGCCCCGACGCTCGGGGCTCCACTGACATCCCCGAGCAGCCCACCCTGTCTCCTGAGAACCTTGGGTAACGGCCGACAGGGATGACAGAAGTGAGGACTCTGTTTCAGTAAGTTTTAATTTTGTCATATTTGCCAAACTTTGCCTTAAATGAATCACAGTAAAACTGACAGAAAGGTCAACACAAATCTTGAAATACTGTGGTGCTTGGACATGAGTATGACTCAGGGAGCAGTGTGACCCCAACTCTGCACCGAGGGGACGGGGGAGCACGCTGGAGCAGGAAGATGTCCTGACTGAAGTCACGGCTGGGCTCTGCTTTCGTCCCCGATCGAGTGTGCGGTCTGGGCCAAGCCTCTCCACCCCACTTTCCCGTTGCTTTTCAGGATGTCCGACGTTTCTCATGGCTCAAATACGGTTACTGAGAACAGTGACGACGGTGGCAGCCACCACCGAACGAGCATCTGCCGGGTTCTGGGTGCGGCGCTGGCACTTCACAGATGACAACCGAGAGAGACCTTGTTATCCCGTTGACCAGATGAAACGAGCGAGGGTCAGATTAACCATTAAGGGCCCAAGCCAGGGCCTGACTCCAGCCCGGCTCTAAAGCCTAGGGCCTCATGCGTCCTGACACAGTGTCACTGAGTGCCATCGCTACAGAGCAGCACGTCCCCAAAGCAGAACCGAACACAGTGCTGCCCAACTCAGCTGGCCAGGCCGGGGGAGAAGCTGGCTCCTCGGCTCATCCGGGAACTGAGGCTCCGAGGGCGTGTCGGCCCTTTAGCCCCTGCTCCTGTCAGTGCCCCCCTCCCCGCCACCCTTTCACACTCTGTCCCATGTCTCATTCTTGCTTCCCCTCCGTCTGAGGTGCCGACAATATCAGCTAACGCCGGGTGAAAGGTGGTTCAGCTTTTACCGGACTTGGGGGCAAAACCTGTTCAATATGAACACGGCAGCACTCGGCTCCCCTCCCGCAGGGAATGAGGATGGAGAACCGCATCTCCACAAGAAGCTCAGCCCCGCAGGGAACGAGGATGGAGAACCGCATCTCCGCAAGCAGCTCAGCCCCACCACAGACGGAACGGCAGCAGCTACACAGCGGACTCGGTCTCCAGTGAGTGGGTCCCGGGGCCTTGTCCCAGGCCACACCCCTAATCTAGTCACTACAAGTCTTTAGCTGAAGACAGGCTGGGCCACCCCTTAAGCTTCTGAAGAGCAGAACTTCTGCCTGGGTGAGGACTGACACACACACACTGCTGTCGCCACCGTTCCAGCAAAAACTACCGCAACACACGTGCACATTTAACGACGCGAAAAACCCACCCACGAAAATCTCAAGTTGAAAATGGATAGAAATGATGTGGTTAAAACTTTTAGTTTAACCAAAGGAGTTTTTTTTTTTGACTTGTCACATTTAAAAATATTTTCCACATAAATATTTTTTAAGGACACATAATTATGTTCCCCATCACAAATTTAGAATTTTCGACAATATATTTTATTTTCTCATAAAAGTTCTACCAAAATATATATTTTTTCTTAACTTAAAAATACAGCTTTGGAAAACAAAATTTGAGTTGTTATAATTCACCACGTTTTACAAACAGCAGTGAAAGGAAAAATTCAACAAAATGGATTCAGTTTATAAATATAAAAATGTTCATTTCACAAGCTTGGCTTTGCCCTTTAGTAACTTAAAGGTGGGGTTCTTGCTGAGTTTCTTGTTAAAGATGACCAGGAGCTCCTCTTCAGATTTGTGGTGTTCATCTGTCACAGCATAATACTGAGCTAAAACCTTCACAAAGAAAAACAACTGTCAAATGGGTGTATCAGCCCTGAAGACTTACCTAAAATGTTCTTTCTTTCATCCAAAAGCAGGGCAACAGGAAAACATAAAAGACACCCAGGTGCTGGTCAGGCAGGTGTGTTCTGCTTGTGAGCACGTTGCTGCATGTGTGTCGTCGTGGGGTGGGGAGAAAGGGGTGAAGGGATGAAGTACAAAGCAGTAACTGGGAGGGGGTCACAGGGTTGGGGGCACGCATAGGGAATGCAGTCAGCAGTACCATAATGGCTGCGTGTAGAGCCGGATGGGTGACGGAGTAATCGGGTGCGGGGGAGGGAGTCATTTCATAAACTATCTAAATGTCTAACCAATGTACTGTATACTTGAAACTAATAATAAAATAAAATGCTAAAAAAAGTTAAAAAACAGAAAAGAAACTGTTGCTTTGGAATAATCAGAAGATAGCAAAATATCTATAACAGTAACTTTCGAATAAGGACGTGATGGGCTTTGGCCCCACCCCCTCCCATAGCTCGGAGGGGCTGCTGGGGAAATGAAGACACATGCGCAGAGTATTTTAGATTAAGAAAAAACAAATCTGGGGGTCGGTGAAAAAAGCGGAAGGGATTAAGAAGTACGAATGGGTAGTTACAAAATAGTCATGGCGATAAAGTACAGCATATGGAATATAACCAATATTATAATAATAACTGTATGGTGTCAGAGGGGCATTAGATTTATTGGGGTGATCACCTTGTGAGTTATATGTCTAATCACTATGTTGTACACCTGAAACGAATATAATATTGTGTACCAACTATAACTGAAAAGTATTATTTAAAAAAAATAGAAAAAAAATTTGTACATTTTAAAATAAAGAACCAGTTCTCCCAGCTTATATACTTAGGTTCATGGGCCATACCTTTTTCCTTAGCTTCTTGATTGCTATTTCATTGTCCGGGGCCTGTTTCAGAATTGCTTTAATGGTTCCCTTCCAGTTGAATTTACCTACAGTATAAAGAATAATATGCAAAACATTTTGTTGTACTACCAGAAGACTGAAGGAAGGATTTCTGCAGTATCTACTTGCTACCTGCAAATGAACCAATCCTGAATGAACAGGATGCCACGGGGCCACAGAGCAGGCACTGACCCATCCAGGCGTAGTGCCTAGAAGCCCCGCCTGCCTTTCACAGGACTTGTTCTCAGAGCGAGCAGTTGACTAAGCAGTACAAACACCATCAGCGCTACAGAGTCCTAGAGTTGCATCTAGTGAACTCGGCACAATGTGCTAGGTACCCACTACGATCATGGGCTGTCTAGGCCAGTAAGCAAGACAAGGCTGAGCAAAAGGAGCTTAACCTTGACCAAGAGGGCAGCCACAAATAACGACTATATGGTGGGCTCGAAGACTCATTCTACAACTTCATGTGAATCTATAATCCAGGGGTGCTCAGGCCTGGGGAGAAGGAACAGCCTTGTGGGGGAGGCAGCCTTTAAGACGTCCTTGAGGGCCAGGGACTGGACTCTGCCAAGTACACATTCCAGCTGAGGGAGTGGGGTGGCCATGGAGTGCCGAGCAAGGAGACACCAGGGACAGACCCAGAGACACGAGCACAAAGGCCAAGTCTGGATGGAGGAAGGGAAGGGAACAGGGTCTTGGAAAGAGCACCAGGTTTATTTTCAATTCTAAAGATAATATGTGTCTCCAATCCAGACTGTTTGCCCTTTTATCCTTAAAGCTAGACAGGCCTCTAAGAGTGACTCGCACAGCTCCCACTCATTACTCTGGAGAAACTCATCTGTTTTCAAAGTCTTCCACGCCCTCCCGAGGGTCTGACCTGCCAGAGGCCCTGGGTCACCCGCCTTCCCCAGAGGGCAGAGTGTTCCCACACAGCAGTGATACCTTTTACAGGGGCTTCGTGGTTTTCTGGTTCTTCACCCTCAGAATGTCCTGGGATCTTTACCTTTTTCTTCTTAGAATCTGCACCAACTAAATAGAGATTAAAAAAAAAATAATAATAGATTTCGCATTTACGACAGCAGCTACCGCTTACTCAGTCTGCCGTGGCCAGGCCCCTTATAGCCGTCATCTTGCTCATTCCCCAAGCAACCCAGCCCCACGGGGCTTCTCCAGGTCAGGTGAGGAAACGGGGAGACCTTCTGCCTTAACTTGGTGCGAAATGCAACGACTAACGGATTCTACATGTCCCGAATTCATAGCATTAATAATTTTAACAAAGCCCCGAGCGTAAGCTCGCCACACACCTTCCGAAAGCTTGCGCTTTCTTCTCCCTGGACTGGTTTGCACTCCTTCCCCGGCCGTGTCTCTCCCGTGGGCCCCATCTCCATCCTTGCCCCGGCTCCTCTTCCCTGCGGCGCTGGCCTTGGCGTCCGCACCCCCGGCCGCCTGCTCCGTCTCCTGCCCCGCCTTGCGCCTTTTCGGTTTGTGGCTCTTTGAGCTCTCTCGGTGGTTTGCTAACTTCAGTTCTTTCTTCGCTTCTTTCCTCTCTCTCTTGTTCTTCTTCACCTCTGTTTGTCCTTCCGTGGTGTCGTTTGCTCTGGGGGGTGGCACCTTGGTGGAGGTTTCTGCAGGTGGGTGTGCCACCTGGTTGTGTGGCCGTTCGTCTTGCCCCTTACTGACCGGTCCCTTGTTATTAAACAAAACCAAGAAACACGTAAGTCCTCACTCCAGACTCGCTTGTGCACACCACGGCGTGTATCTGCCGAACACACTGTTCCCGGGACAATGTCTCACCGTTTTAGAACTGTGACCCTCCCACACACACACACACAATCGTTAAAATGTAGGAGTAAATGTACACAGTGCGAAGGACTCCCTCAGCCCACATCCCTCTCTGCATTTAGCAGACATTTTCATTCCCCTGGAAAAGTGAAGAATCCTTAAATCACTTCAGCCAGACACTGAATTTTGGGTCACTAGTCACCTTTCTTATCAAAGGTGAGCACTTAGGTGTGGCAGAAACCACTAGAGTTATGCATCTAAAGACCTGGGTTCAAGTTCCAGCTCGGGTCAATTACGAGCCAAGTGACTCAGGGCAAGTTACATTGATCTGCTCAACTCTTTTTGCTCATCTGCAAAATGACAAGCAGTGAAACCTACCTCATACAGTTGATGTATGAGTAAAACGAGGCAAGAAATGCCATGCACTTAGCGCAGGGGACACTTAGTAACGCGGCCAGCGTATGGGAGGGTTTTGTAAACTACCCAAGAGTGGACGGAGGCACAATCTAATCGTCACTCCGATGCAGCGGTTACCCTCAGAGGAGCAGTCGGGGACCCCTGGACAGCATGTCAAGCACGGTGGGTAAGGGATCACAGACAACTAAATGACCAGGCACACTGGGATGAGATAAACTCCCCATTTACCGCACTACCTGATTCAAACCAGCACACAAATCCTAGTTTTAAAAATGACTTCAGCATAGCTAGTCCCAGTGCCTGCTGTGCTCCCTGACTCTACACCAGACCCTGCTCAGCAGAGGGCGCAGAGCCGTCTATTCAGTGGCCTGTGGGCCTGAAGCGTCTGGAGGGGACGAGAGACGGCCGGCGGCAGCAGCTCCAGGAAAGCACGGGCCGTGCGCGCCTGCACGCGCCTGCACACCTGGCCACTCCATCTCTGTAAGTTAGCAGCCAGCCTACCTCACAAGTCACCTCTAGTCCTCTCGCTTTGGGAGACTGTCTCACAAGAAGGGAGCTGCTGCCCCCATGCTGGACTCAACAAAGGAGGTCTGGTCACCCGGGTCTGACCTTGATGCCGAGAGCAGCCCTCAGGGAATGGATGGTAAACTAAACTGTTGGCGTTTTCAGAGAAACCGAGTAGTCCAGGCACGTGGCGGGGTGAGGGAGAGGCAGAGAATGAGCCCAGAAACGGACTCTGGAGGAAGAGGGGGACAAAGAGACTCCGAAGAAACCTCACGCCTGTCCTATAATGTTTGTGCGGCACCGTCAGGTACCGTAGCCGCCAAGCGCCACAGACCTGAGCCGGCCTCCGCCACTCACACCGAGTGTGGCTGGTGCCAGGCCTCGCCCCACCTGGCAGCCGTTCCTGTCGTCTTCCTACTTCGCGCCAGGCCCCCTCGGCCTCGGCCACGCCCTCGCGGGCCCTCTGCCCTAACAGCACCCTCCTCCGCGCTCTGCCCCTCCTCTCGCCTGTGTTTCTTCCTGGCGCTTGTCACAGCGACGCTGCAGCGTACACCCAAACGCGTGCTGTGCCCGCCCCCCCCAGAACACAGCTCTGTGAGGCGGGGGCTCGGGCCTGATTACACTGCACCCGCAGCGCCCAGGTGCGACCTGTGCTGGGCACAGTGGAGGAGAGAAAGCCGCCCACCTCACGCCTGGCACACAG